GGAACCTGCACCGTTTCACCACACTCTCCATTTCCATACCGGCTAAACGGGAACCCGGACGGGAAAACCGGGGATTCCGGTTAGTTTCCAAGTGAAAGACGAGCTAAACGCTTAACACCAAATCATGTCGACTACCTGCTCACGTTTGTAAGAATGAGTAATAAATCTCTAGCTGCGTGACATCCGATTCCTTCCTGCCCTTTGGACATTATCATTACCTCTAAGCACCAACACATTTCAGAGGCTTGAATCTTTTAAAAGCAAAGTCGGTGATAAATGACACTTTAAGTTATCGAGCCGAGTAGAGGGCCGTTTTATGCCTGAATTAAAATCCCCTGCCTTGGCCCTACAGCACTTTGCAGGCTGCAGACGCACCAGCGAAACTAATTTCTGATTAATAAAAAGCAGGAACTGATAGCCATTACCAATTTATAGACCTGTGTTATGTTATATCGGAGGTCATTGTTTATTCATTTTCCAGCCAGGCGTTATCTCAGGGTCCTTAGACCAGAATATAGGACAGTTTCTGTTTCAGCAGGAGTCCTTTTCTGGTGTCACCAGCGAAAATTAAGGGAAAAATACGCAAATAAACATGTAAATATTGTTATTATCGTACCAACAAACTGAAATGGGTCGGTTTCAATGATTGTTGATGTCTGTGTTTTGTTTTCTTCATCTCCTTTTAACTGGCAAATCTCAGAGGAATGGGTTTTTATTTGGTTTGTTGGTTAAAAATTGGGTGCGTCCTGGTTTGGAGTGTCCTCAAAACATTTGAAGTAAACTGAGGCCTTGACCTAAGAGGAGCTTCTAAACCTTCATCTGATCACCCACGTCCAAACAAGAGCTCTTTGACGTCCCTCAGAAAGCCTGGAAGACCCCTCCTGAAAACCGCTTCAAGAACAGTGTTGGGTAAGTTACTTTAAAAATGTAATCCGTTACAGTTACCTTGTTAAAATGTAATTGTAGTGTAACTTTTTCGATTACTTTTCAAAAGAAATGTAACTAATTACTTTTGATTATTTTTTGATTACTTTAAGGTTTTAATGAGTATTGACCCATGATTAATTTTAGCATGTTATTATTAGCTATTGGCCGCAGCTAGCAGTTCAAGGCTAACGTCTTGTTAATGA